CGCAAGCGCCGGCCCTCAGGGAGCAGCCGGCAGGGTCTTGTAAGGGTTCAGAATCCCTTTGGTGTCCAGCATGGCTTTGAGCTGCTGCATCAGGAGGACTGCTCCCCGGGGCTTACTGTACTCAATGTGCTGCTTCTTCCTGAAGCCCAGCCCGTGCTCCGCACTGATGCTGCCGTGGTGCCGGGCGGTCCACTCGTACACGAATGGCTCAATGGCATCCCGCAGGGAACGGCTGTCGGACTCGGCTGTGACGTTCAAGTGCAGGTTCCCATCTCCTGCCAGGAAGCAAAGCGGAGCTGGGCCGGCGCTCCGGATGGAGAAACCAAATCCCCCCGCCCCGCAATGGAGTTTCTCCACTGGCTCTGCCTGCTGGGGCCGGGAGAGCTGCTGCCCATCGGGGCTCCCCGCGCAGTTCAGACAGGAGTGAGCCGGGGAGTTCCCTGACCCCTACGCCAGCGCACGTGCGCCTGGCAGAGCCCCGGTGCTGCCCGGGCACTCGCTGTGAGAACTGCAGCCAGGCGGTTCTTTGTGGCCCAGGGTCGCAACGGCTTACTCCGTTTGGAAGGCCACCCCACCCCACCACCACACCGCGGCAGCAACGCCAACCTCTGGCTGGGCCACAGAGAGAGGCGTTTCTCCTGCACGGCCTCTGCATAGCCAAGCGGGAGTAACAGCTAAGTATCTACGGACTGCCTGGGAATCAGAGAAATCGGAAGCTCTCTTGGAACAAGAGAGCTCCCAAAAGGAGCACGGCTCAGTGAAAGATCGCCCTGTTCGTTATACAGTCAACCTTTAGGAAGCAGCCTCCTCTTTAAACCCCTGCTCCGAAGCATCTCTGAAGAGAAAGTGTCTAACGCGGCTCCACGTCTCAGCTCGTTAAGCCAGCCCTTTGTGCGGCCCCAGACCAGCTGAGGTCACGGGTCGCTAAGTATGTTTCAAAATATCCTTTTGCAGAGTCCAAGGCCTTTTCCCCCTAAACTGCATTATTTTAATCACTGGTTAATGGCGTGGCTGTAATTGGTTTATAGATCTTGCAATTCGCTCCTGTGAGGAGAGTGGTTATCTACCAACCATCTCCATTTGCTATTTGATTGTGAAAATCCAATGTATTAACCAATTGACCCAAATCGCTAGATAAAGAGCTACCAGGCAACATCTCGTGGGCTAACTTCTTGTATTGCAGCACAGGTTGTTAATGTTACAAAATCCATTCTTCCATTAGCACAGGGAGCAGGCTTCCCACAGGATCTCACACCTTGCCCCAGCGCTATGGCTCTCATCAGCCAATACCACCTAGTTATTGCTCCCAGCCAGCTAAGCCCACGGCTTTAACTCGTGTGCGAATGCTCAGCAGGAGCTAAGCTCCAGCAGGAAATCCCAACTCACCTAGATGGCCATAGCCAACCACTCTCTTGGCAGCCGCGCCCAGTCGCGCCCGGGTATCAGTCACGAGGTCATACAGTCTCTCCACAGGCAGGGAGAGGTCGTACTTGTACACGCAGCCGTCGTGAGTTAGGGCCTCGGTGATGCGCTCCCTCAGAGACCACAGCGCCTGTGACTCGGCAGATCAAACAGAACGAAGCGAAGAGAGAAAATCAAAAGGAACCAACTGAGGTCGGATTTCATTCGTCATGGAGTTTGGGGGGAGGGGCGGGGCAGGGAACGTTAGCTAAGTCTCTGGCCCGCTGGCCACCCTCTGCACGTGCAGTATCTTACCGCTCTCAGAAACATCCATTCCAGCTCCGTGTTTGCTCCCTGCCTCAGAGGAAGGAGAGCGCACGCAATTTCGTTTTCCTGGACATTTTACAATGTCTAATTTTCCATCTGCGGCGGCTCAGACTTCCAGCCAGCGCCCTGGCTGTGGGGCAAGGGGAAGACTATGGAAGCAACTCCCCATAAGCCACCACTCTGCCGGGGTCAGGCACTGGCATGCAGTGAGCATGGCTTATCACGCTGACTAGGGCCATCGCATTGTTTCCTTGTGCTCCCCACCTGGTTTGCTGCAGCTTCTGTTGTCTCATCTTGTATTTCAACTGTCAACTCCTTGGGACGGCGACATGGGTCATCTGCTGGTCAGAGCTCGCCACGGTAGGGCCCTGATGCCTAATACCGCCCCTGGGTGCCCCTGGACCATAAGTAATCATCTCAGCTCCATGGGAGTACCCACATGTGCTTCCCATACATGAGCAACGTGCTGCTGAGGCAGACAGGTGGTCCAGTCCAACACAAGAGCTTCCCCTACACTCCCCACTAATGTATTCCAAGGAAAAACGTAAAACACAACGAAGAGACCTGCAGCGCCTTAGAAATGAACAAAACACGTAGATGGTCTCCTGAGCTTCCGTGGGCACAACCCACTTCTTCCGATGACTGGCGTGTTAGAAGTCCAGATCCAAGAATAAATAATCAGACCTGGACTTGTAACATGCCAGTCATCGGAAGAAGTGGGTTGTGCCCACGAAAGCTCAGGGGACCATCTACGAGTTTTGCTCATCTCTAGGTGCTGCAGGACTACTCGCTGTTTTATAAGTTTTCCCAGTTGCAGACTAACTCGGCGCCCCTCTGAACATATTCCAAGGAAGTGAGGGTCAAGGAGACGCCTAGCATTGCAAATCTTCCCACTTGCACAGGGGAACCGGGTTATTCTAGCCCCACTACGTCCGCGTCTCTCTGTGGTTTTGTTTTGCTGGCTAAGAAACAAGGAATTTCTCTACACTTTGTGCTCAAGCAAACCTGCAGGAGAGAAAGAGGTTCCGCACCTCCCCATGCATATGGTAAGAGAAGGGCATGAGGAACATCTGAGAACAGCCCAGGTGGTCACAAGTCACTTTGTCGGTGTGTGTTTCACCATAAAAAAAGCTACAGCTTCCCTCCTGATGTCAGGTGACTTGGGAAATCCTAACCCACAGAACAAAGAGTGTGAACGTTCGTCAGCGTGAAGAACAAATCCAACCAGAGAAGATTCCCTGCCTGTTTGCATAGGCGGGGGACTCACCTTTATTTTCTTATCCTCTGTGGCCACAGTCCCGTCTGTCACCAATCCCGAGGCCATGACATGTTCCAAGAAGTGGTTCAGTTTTTCTTCATCATGGGCAGAATTGGAGCCTGAGGTTTCAATTAAAATGTAAAAGGGGCTTCCTGGAAACGAGGGAGGACAGAGCAAGAGAAGAGCCAGGAGAAGACGAAAGGGATTTAATTCAGATGATTAACGGTGTCACCTTGAGAAGTCTCTGGGTTAAAATAAAGCAACATTCTCTGCAAGGACTCCCCTTTACATGGGAGGGCCGAGATAACTGGCCTTCCCAAGCTCTTTGACAGGTATTCTGCTGGCCAAGGTGGGACCCAAGCAGCTGGGAAGGCCTCCAGAGCGGGGGATGTGGGCAGACTCCCTCCTGAACAGTCACACTCAATGCTGCATCGGCAGAGCACAATGGCTGCGATTTCCTCCACGCTTGGACATTCGGCAAATATTCTGGGTCTTGCCAGGGTATCTGCTTAGTGCTGGAGGGCAAGTGACGCCTTCCATTTGCAGTGAAACACCCTCTGCGGCAAAGCATGCCGCTTACCTTCTGCGCCCGCGAGTTCACCAATGGAGACCAAGTCCAAGGCTGGGAAAGACGCCCTCCCTCTCCTGCTGCATTTCAGGGAGGTTCCCTCCAAGGAATCCCTCTCTGCTGCTCGACAGCCTTGATGCACCACACGCTGCCCTTGTTTTAATCGCTATTTAATTGCTACTGCTGAGAGGGGGGCCACGAACACCCCCCCTCCCGGCATAGCAGTCTGATTCGTTGGTGTTTGTTTGAATGTCTCGGGGCGACTAAGCTAGGGGGTAGGGATGTTTGCTCAGTGATGAGTTCTGTGGCATTATTGGATTTTACTCAGTCTCTGCAGGAGGTTGCTGTCTCCTTCCTGCTCCAAGGGACCAGATGCAGTCCCTAAGAAAGGCTGTCTGTGCAATCTCCGGAGCGATCTCTTAACAGCGTAACACACAGGCTGAATACTTCTCCGGCCCTGGGCAAAAAGCTAGGGCTCCATGGCAGGAGCAGTGTGGGGAAGTCCAGACTTTAATGAGCCCTTCTCACCTTGGGCAGGACTTTCCTCTCCATCTGCTGAGTATTTTGCCCACTGGTCCCCACCTCCTCCCAAAAGAAATCCCTGGAACATGACACAGCACCACAGATCCCCGAAGCGCCTGGGCTCGCAGCACCAACCGCCTGTGCGCAGCACGGTAACTCTCCTACCTGTCACTGGTCTGGACAGCGTGAGGTGGCTCTCAACCAGCGTCATGCACAGGTCGTCCATGAATTCACAGGCAGACAGGATCTCTCCCAGCATGCCCTTGCAGGCGGTGAACGTTCCAAGGACCTGACTGAAACTCTGGCAGCCTTCCCGCAGACAACACAACACGGAGAGAATTACAAGGGCTCGCGCTAAAGCACTGCCTGCCCCAAGCGCTGTGCCCGGGGTCCCGGAAATCCCGACGAATAGACTGCCTCGAGCACTGCCAGTGCTTACACGGTGAGAGCAGCCCGTGGAGGAGCACCTCTCACCCGACTGGCCTTTGTCACGCCAACGACACCTTATGTCCCACCAAGCTGTCTGGGGCGTGTTCCTATCCCCCACTTACCCGTCTGGGCCAGAAGGATGGGGCCAAAATGCAACCCGTCCAGCTAAGCACTGGTCCCTTCCCTTCCCACTTCCACCCACCATTCTTCTACCTGAGACTGATGTGCTGCCTGGCAGAGTGAGCTGAGCCGGCACGGTGACCGGCCCCTGGGGAATACCAGAGAAGAGACTCGGAGGGGAGCCGTGTGAGTCTGTAACTTGAAAAACAACGCGCAGCCCCGTGGCACCCTAGAGACCAACAATCACGAGGAGGTGGCTTTCAACCGCGACAGCTCAGGGTCGAAGATATTTGTTAGTCTCTAGGTGCCACAGGACTGCCCCTTGTTTTCGCAGAGAGGCGAGATTTGTACATCCCAGTGACCACAAGTATTTCAACAGACCCCACGCAGCTCTCTGCAGTGTGCTGCCATTAGACACAAATCAAGCCGAGAGGGTGGCTCACAGCAGCTACTGGCGTGCGGTGCCTCACTCCTGCCACTGCCTGCAGCAGCCAAGTTATTAAATCCCAGCCCCTGAGCCAAGTGGGCAGCTTCATCTCCAGCAACACACCCCGCTGAGTCTCCTGGGCCGCGGACACTGCGGGGGAGGGATGGCACCTACCTAGGAAGGCCAGATTCACAGACTTGGGTTTCCGCGGACAGAGGATGGAGACAGCTGTAATGACCCCCAGCGTCCCCTCTGAGCCAATGAAAAGCTGCTTCAAATCATAGCCAGTGTTATCCTTGCGCAGAGAAGCCAAGCAGTTCAGAAGGGAGCCATCAGCCAGGACCTGACAGAGGACAAATGAAACAAACCGATAAATCCTTCGTTTCCAGTTACACAACCACACGCAGGTGATGAGCTGGTGCGAAGAGACAAGAAGATGGCAAGCTGCTGCAAAGCCATCCACAGAGCCCTGCATACATCCATCCCATCTGATCCACGGACAGCCTGGGCTCTTCCTCGCTAGATTCTTCCCCTTCTCTGACTGCTGTCCTGACCCACAAGTTTTGCCCTCTCACTTCTTCCACAAAGCTTTCCCTGCCCTGCCCATTTTGCGCCACCAAATTCCTCTCTTCCTTATTGATACACGAATCCCGGGAGCATGCAGAATAAAACAGAAGGGGCATCTCTGTGCGCTGCCATACTGCATTGGCAAATAAGGTCTGGTTCGTGCTCTGCCACTAGCCACAAGAATCCTTCAGCATAACTGTCCCAGGCGAGCGGCAGCCCTAGCAGCGTAGAACCAGAATAAGCAGCACTCCCATGCTGCAGGGATCAGCAGGAGGAGGGCAGGATGGCAGGGGAGAGTCAGGAATACAATCCAAAGAAGGGGGGGGTGTTCCACAAAATGCCTGACGCTGGACAGGGAGGAGCTGCTGGCCTGGCAATTCCACAGTGAGCAGCACTAGGAGCGAGCTACTGGCAGGATCTCTGTCAGCAGAGGAACGACAACACAATTTCCACTTCCTAGCTACGCGGCCAGCTAGCAGCCTGTGGGGTCGGCGCAAGAGAAGGGTTCAAGTAGGGGGCGGAGCGTTAACTTCTGAAATATCCCTCTATCAGCAATGACGCACGGACCGTCTTGTATTAACAGCACTTCAGGAGCGTGGCAAAAGCGAGCTGGAGAACCCAACAGCACCCCTGGAAAGTAGGGGCAAATCACCTCAGGAGCCCTCCAGTCCAGCCCCCTCTGCTGAGGCAGGCCCAGGTAAATCCAGACCGTCCCCGCAGGTGTGTCCAGCCTGTTCTTAAAACCCTCGACGCCGGGGCGCCACCGCCTCTCTTGGGGGCCTTCTGCAGTGCTGAGCTACTCGGAAGAGTCAGAAATTGTTCCCAAGTGTCTAACCTGACCCTGCGGTTACTCCCATCCCTTGAGGCCCTCCCGTCAGCGGGCGTGGGGCAGTGATCACAGTCTCCTTTGTAAGAGCCCGTAAGGCACCCAAAGCCTGTTGCCAGGTCCCCCCTCAGCCTTTTCTTCTCAAGACCAAACACGGCCAGTTATTCTACCCTTCCTCCTAGTCCCAGCCATCTAAACTGTTCATCGGTTTTTGCTCTCTTCTGGACTCTCCCTCTTCGAGCGTGGGCCTACCACTGGGGACACACTACTCCAGCTGAGGCCTTGCCAGCGCCCAACAGAGCAGGCCACCTATGTCCCATGTGTTCCGTACCACCCTCCTGTTAATACACCCCAGGATTACATTAGCCTTTTCCACAAATGCCTCCCGCTGTCAGCTCCTATGCAGCTGGCGATCCACTCCAGCCCCTAGTCAGCCGTACTAGCTAGTTATGCCCCATTGTTAGTTGTCCATTTGATTTGTACTTGTCTTTATTAAACTTCTTCTCACTGATCTCTGACCAGCTCTCCACTTTGTCCAGGCCATTCTGAATGCTAATGCCATCCTCCCACGGGCCGGCAGCCGCCCCCAGCTCGGTGACACGATGTACGCGTCTCGAAGGAGAGGAACATACAAACGGGGTGGCAGCAGGCTATCTTACCACTTCCAGTCCCAGAACGGTCCCTCGGAGAGAGCCGTACCTCAACAGCCTCAGGCCTCCTGCATTTGTGGCCACATTCCCACCGATGTGGCAGCTGCCCTTTGCTCCAAGGTCAAGTGGCATGATAAAGTCCAGCTCCGCGAGATACTGGTTCAGGCTCTCTAGGATGCAGCCAGCCTGGCAAACAAGGATCCCTGAAACACAAGAATCAGCTACAGCATGACACACAGAACGGGACTCCTGCAGAGGCCGGACAGCTGTAAGCAATGAGGACCTCCCCTGCCCCCAGACGACCCCGATGGCACAATTCAAACTCGGAATAACTCTTCCCAGGGATCCGTCTCCCTCCTGCTAACGTCTGTGGGAACTCTGACTCGGACATCAGCCGGAGCAGGCCTGCGTGGGTATCTGGAACACAGGGCACCACATATTTCTCTCCCTTTAATTTCCCCTCGACTCGACTTTCTAAGAACTTAAATGTTCAAATCTCCCCATGGCCCTCTCATTCCCCAAGGCCAAGCACACCCCTTCCCATTTCTCTCCTCCACAAGCGCCAGTGCAGACTGGCCATTCACCCGGCAGAGCCCTTCTTCAAAACAGCTGTCATGCATGTCCTGGCTTTTCCGATAAGCTCCAGATAGTATCCCAGCTGCATTTCTTAAAGAGATACTGGGACGAGCGCAGGCGCTCCTCTGCCTCCCCAGCCCTGTCGGAAGAGTCCTACGCGGGGGAAGCCCCTGCTGGTCTGGATCCCTTCCCATACTCTCGGGAGGGGCAAGGCTCAGGGGGCTGAAAGGCAAAGCATATTTACCAGACACCTTGTCAAAGCTGATGACCTGGTTCATCAGAGCTGTGGAGAGAATGATCTCATCAAAGACGGGAACGCTGCCCCCCACGAGGCCAGTGTTCCCTCCCTGGGGGGTTACTGCCAAGTTCCTCTGGTTACAATACCTGCAAGGGGACACAGCGTCCAATGATCTCGCTGCTCAGCGCCACGCCCACTTGCCTCCGGGAGACTTGTTCTTGTGAGCAGCTGGACGAACTAGCTGTCCTCATTAAAGCTAAATCGTGACCCTCCAAACCCACGTTCCCGCTAATCTTTTCCAATCGCGTGTGGATTGTTTCCATCGGAGTGTGGAATGAATTTTGTATCTGCCTCGAGGCACATACAAATGTGTACCACCAGTACAAACAAAAGCGAGCTGTGGGCAGCCTGCTAATCAGCTGGGCAGCACTGGAGTCTCTCCCGAGCAGCCGCACAAGCGCCCGGCTTCCAGGAAACACAGCTCCTAAGAGCTGAAATTGAGAGGAAGGGCCAGTTTCAAACGCAGCGTGAGAACACACAGCTCTTGCTGGTGCCAAGAGCGGAATGTGGCACAACACCAGGAACTTTCCAACAGCCTGTGGATAAAGGACTATACATTTAGGACCATCCCTTTGTATGCAATTTCAGTTGTACGATGTATATTTTTACTCCAAATCGGCCACCCCTTTTAGGAGCCCTGTGGATGTGGCTGCCTTTGGTAGCACATCTTCATCACCTTGCTGTGTGCTCTTTCCACCTCATCGCATAGGTGTTTGCTTGCTTTCAGCATTTCTTTCTTCCCCCCGTGGTACACTGTACGTGGTTCCGTCACCTCTTCTACGTGCTACGGCCAATGACATTTACAGAGACGCACGGGTGCACGAGGGCACCCGACAGACCCAGCAAAAAGCCCCAGAGCATACAATCTAATTCCAACACTGCACAGTCTCAGTGAACTCCTCACACACCTACCGGGTGGAGCAATAAGAAGGACTGAGACCAGAAGGCCAGCTCAGGCTCTGAGAGAGGGAAGTGTTGGGAAGGGCTGTTTGCTAGCAAGAGGCCTTCAAAAAGGTCAAGTGCCATAATCAGTCCTTGTGTAGCTGGGCTGCATCTCAGGAGAAGGGTTAGCGAGTTATCTAGAATACTTTTGAGTTTCTCTTCTTGTAACTAATGCCCCTGTAAAACCTTTTCGAACCAGGAAAACGTGCTGTTCTTTTCTTGCCAAGCCAAGAGACATCCTGACTCCTGCACGTTCCAGTTGTGTTAGGGCACAAAGCTGCAGTATGCCAGGCAATATTTCATAAACGCAGACCTTGAAGGAAGAAGGCTTTAGGTCACTTGACGCTTCGCTGTACCACACCTAGTACAGGGAGCACACACTGCTGGACGTTGTAAAAAACGAGTGGTCCTGTAGCACCTTAGAGACTAACAACAAATGTTACATAGTGTGAGCTTTCGCAGGCAACTCCATTGTGTTCGCCCTTGAGTGGTCTGTGCCACCAAGCGGCAAGCCCAGGTACTGCTGCTAAGCTAGGGCTTGACTCGACACACACTGACACGCATGGCAGGGCTGTGGCTGGCTTCAACAGATACGGGATCAAGTCCTTCATGTGGAGAAGCTCACTGATCCTGGGACCTGGCCCCAGGCTTATTTTACATCTTGCATTTTATTTTCCTTTGGCTATTTCTCTCCTTCAGCATGACCCTGCTGTGACCTCCTGATGGCGGCAGTCCCTTTGTGTCCCGGCACTCCTTCCAAATACATCAGGAGCAGAGAAGTGATGAGATGGGTTTTCAGGTGTCTAAAAGGGTGTCACAAGGAGGAGGTAGAAAAATTGTTCCCCTTGGTCTTTGAGGATAGGATAAGACGCAATGGGCTTAAACTGCAGCCAGGGAGGTTTAGGTCGGACATTAGGGAAAAATTCCTCCGTCAGGGTGGTTAAACACTGGAATAAATTGCCCAGGGAGGTTGTGGAATCCCCATCTCTGGAGATATTTAAGAGCAGGTTGGACACACACCTGTCAGGGATGGTCTAGACCATGGGTTCCCAAACTGGGGGGCGCGAGGTGACCCAGCCCCCCCGGTCAATCCTCTCCCCCTAAGTTTTGCTGCTATTTGTTTTTCAGCCCCAGTCAGTTCCTCTTTTTTTTTTTTTTTTGTTCAACAAGTTTTGCTGCTGTTGGGGGGGGGGTCTGAAGGTTTCTCAAAAATCAAAAATGGGGCGTGATGCTGAAAAGTTTGGGAACCCCTGCTCTAGACAGTGCTGGGACCTGCCATAAGGGCAGGGTGTTGGACCTGATGACCTCGCAAGGTCCCTTCCAGTCCTAGGGCTCAATGACACCTCCCGCCAGCCCCCACACACACCTGAGTAAGATTTTCTACTTCGGGCCACAGGAGTGTGAAACGAGGAGCCAGATGTCTCCCATTTGGCATTCACAACGTTTGTAAAATCTCTCATATGGGGAGCTGTGTGAGTCTAACTTCCAAACCAGCCAGTGGCTCTGGCACCTTAGAGACTAATCAAAATATATTGAATCATGAGCTTTCATGGGCAACACCCACTTCATCAGATGGGTCGGAGTGGTTCTCAGGGATCACACTGCTCCTTAGGAACTTTCCCAAACCGTTCGAAAGCTCTTTTGGTCGAGCATTCCTGGGTAGCCTGGAGTTTGCTCATTCGTGCACATGACTCAATTCTTGATTAAATCTGGTAGCAATGTGAAATGATGTGAGACGGTTCGAGTAGAGCAGTGAGAATTCAGAGAGCAACACAGAAGCACTCAGTAGCAAGGGTCAGTAAGAAAGAGGTAAATTACCTGAGAACCTCAGAGACCTCTGCTGCTGTCTGCGGCCTCAGCAACATCTTACTGCAGCCTGCAAGGAAAGCACGGTAAAATCAATCTGAAACACAGCTGGTGGCCGGAAAGGTCCCCCCCCCTTGCGCACACACATCTCCTGGTGTTCCTGACACTAGTGACAACAGAACACACCAGGGCCCCCTGCACCATGAGGTGTGACTTGTTCCCTAGCCTAGCAGCACGGGGACAATCATGCAAGACACACCCTCCTGTAGTGCTCCAGGGGCACGGATGAGCTGCCAAGGGAGCAGGGAGCTATGAGAACAGGCATAATAACCAGCTCTTACCCAGTGCTTTTTCTCTATAGCCCTCCAAGCACTTTACTAAAGGGGCAAATAGAATTATTCTCATTTTACAATTAGTCAGAGTATCGTACCATGGTGAGGGCATGAGATGGTCATAAAATACGAGAGAGTAAATGGCAACAGTTTGGGCAAATGCCAGCTCTCATTTTGCCCCACCAAAGAACTTGGACAGCTGACCAGATGTCATAATGAATGATTGTCACCTCTCCCTACTAGCCCACTAGAAAAAGCAGAGCACACTTGTCCACGGGACAAATCTTAAATTCCCTGAGTAGCTCTGCTCAGTCCAGCATCCCACTTCACTGCCTTGGCAATCATGGAAAACATACACAATATCCCATACCAGGAGAATAAGCGGAAAGAAGGAAGCTCCGGTAACAATCTCACTGTCCACAACACCCCTCCACCGTGCTGAAGACTGAAGAATTACACCCTGCACTGGGGTATTTTCACAACTTGTTCTAGCTACTCACTAGGTCAGTGAGTTTAATGACACATGGCGAGTACTTTGTAGAGTGCACACATAGCCACCACCACATTTGCATTTCAGACTAATTTCCAGGCCCGGTATCCAACAGCTCCAGCATGAGGACAATCAAAGGAAGATTTGACAATCTGCAGATTTCAGACCTACACCCTTATTTTTAAAATGTGTTAAAGAAAAAAGTAAAAGACCTACAGCATAACGGACTGCTTAGTGGATGCACTGCAGTATAAAATCAACCACTTCCCAAGCATAGTAAACTTTGGGCATCAGTAAACAAAAATATAATTTAACCGTCATCCTAAAGAGGAGATTTGGAAATATTTTTGTTTCGATGAAAAATTCTGACAAAAATGAGAGTTTTGACACAAACATTACAGGAAAGTGGCTTTTGAACGAAAGGTTTCAGCCGGCTCCAATAACCACACTACATTCTGTGGGATTTGCAGACACAAGCAGCAGCACGGGAGCTGAGGTTTCTCCCTGCAGATTTTTCAGACAGCTATCGTGGTGGAAAGGGGATGGGTGTGTCAAAATGCTGAAACACCTACCCCGCATGGACTGCAGCCAGTCCACGTTAAACGTCCGCAATTCGTCCGGGTCGGTGACAACTCTGCCTGGTAAAAGGCTCTCAAAAAAAGCAAAATCACCATCCGAAAGGTGAGAGAAGGGCAGGCGCTGCACACCATACCGCTCGCTCGTCAGCATCACTTCCTGGGGGCTGGCAGAGGTCGTAGAGAACGCTCTCTTGCCCAGCAGACTGCTGCCCCATCGGGGGGGTGGCTGGGACACCGGTGGGCAGTAGAGCTCGGCTAGTTTCTTCTGCTGAAGCCCCCACTGAGCGGTAGCACTAGTCCATGTTGCCACGGTTCTGTGCTGGACATTCGTACGCCATCTTGGGAGGGTCCCACAGCACCAACCCAAACGAAGTGAGACAAAACAGGAAACCATCCTGGTTGCCCTGCAATGAAAACAGAGGATTTACACCCCATTTGGATTCTTCCTGCTGCTCCCAAGACCTCATATGCGTAAAAAGCCACTGCCCTGCTACTCTTCACCCAGAAAGCTGATGCCTAAATCAATCTGTTAGACTTTAAGTTGCCACCAGACTCCTCATTGTTTTTGCTGGTACAGACTACCACAGATAACCCTCTGAAATGTGACCTACTATTGTTTATTATGGAGGCAAAACTATAGGGAAGTAAAAGATCATTCACATTTGCAGACAGAATAGTTTCAGTATTGTCACTGTATTATTGTACAATCAACCCAACTCATATCTAGGGAAATTCAGATGGAAGTAGGATTGTATAGAAGGGTGGGGTGGGGTGGGGGTGGGGGTGGAGATGACACAAAGCTTCTAGTATTACTGAAATTCCCAATGAAATGTGTGATGCATGCATTTCTCCATTAAAGACATGGGCTACGTCTAGACTGGCATGGCTTTCCGCAAATGCTTTTAACGGAAAAGTTTTCCGTTAAAAGCATTTGCAGAAAAGAGCATCTAGATTGGCAGGACGCTTTTCCACAAAAGCACTTTTTGCAGAAAAGCGTCCGTGCCAATCTAGACACGCTTTTGCGCAAAAAAGCCCCGATTGCCATTTTCGCAATTGAGAATCAGCTCTCCTCCCTGTTTATGACACTGAGTAAATCGGCAAGAATCTATAAACTGGGATACTTATTAATCTGTAAGACTCCAAAGAACAAATATCTGACCAATGCCTGTCTGGAACAGGGAGCACATAGGTGGTATGTATGCATACACAGACATTACAATTCACATAACATCTGCCTCTTGTTGTTGAAGATTAACTACTCCACTGAAAGGGTGTGGGAGAGTTAGACTTAGTGCAGATAAAACACAACAAATGGTCTGGTAGCACTTTATAGACTCACAAAACATGTAGAAGTATCATGAGCTTTTGTGGGCAAAGCCCACTTCTTCAGATGCCCACGAAAGCTCATGATACTTCTACATGTTTTGTGAGTCTATAAAGTGCTACCAGACCATTTGTTGGTTTTTTCCCTGTAACAGACTAACTCGGCTACCCCCTAAAGCTTTAGTGCAGATAGGTGAGCCAAACAAAGAAATACTCCTTTATGGTAAGGACAGCACAGTAATCTTTTTGTGAGTCTATAAAGTGCTACCAGACCATTTGTTGGTTTTTTCCCTGTAACAGACTAACTCGGCTACCCCCTAAAGCTTTAGTGCAGATAGGTGAGCCAAACAAAGAAATACTCCTTTATGGTAAGGACAGCACAGTAAACTGTCAGAAGATAAGAGGGAAGGTCCTCTTATGGATTGATAATTGGTTAAAAAAGGCGAGGCGGGGGGAGACACCGCACGCTGGGGCGGGGGGGCTGGCGAGGCG